GTGAAAATTATTTGGGTGTGTCTCTAGTAGCTGCGTCGTATGATCTTCCCACGATGGTTGTCTAGAACCCGGTTCAAAGTACTGCTAGACACTTATTTATGCGAATCCTCGCGCTGGCAAGCACACTGCCCCGTGCCGAGAGCATCAAGAGCAGTACTACAACCTTTTTTACTTGTGCCTTTCAGGTGAACGACAACCGGTGAACGACAAAAACAAAACCGACCCGGGAAACTTGAACAAGTGCCTCGATCCTGTGTACCAATCCGTGAATCGTTGACTCTAACGGACAGGATGGGGGAGCATTGGCCGCACAATGTTCTCAGCTGCAAAAAACCCTCGCATGTGGAGTAAAACTTTTTGCCCTTAAATGTTGAATTTGGTTGCGCACGTGCTCAAGCCAAAGGCCATCCAGATCTAGTTCACATTTTTGCGGCTCACCAAGTTTAATTGCCCACTGAAGCGGACGGTTTGGTGGAGAGTCGCTGAGAATCCGGGATGCCCGTACAGTGCTCAAAAGCTTAGAGTGGTATTTTGAATTTAATTGTCCATCTCTTTTAGTCCATTAGGGACACTACGTAGCTTCAGAAAATTCAATTTCATTGTGCGAATACTCAGTGCTTCTGGATTGTGCCCAACCAGCGAACCAATCAAAATGCTGGCTTCACGGATTCGCGGGTTGGTACACAGGATCGAGGCTATTGCCCGGGTCGCTTTTGTTCTTGTCGGCCAGTGACCACTATCACTATTACCACAACTTTTTGGCTCGTCATTTTTTCACCTGTGAGGAGTTCATGAAAGGCTCCGTAGGATTTTAATGATGAATAGAACGTTAATTTGGTTTATATGCTCTGCGACAGCCTTTTTAAGTGTTTGTTCCAATCGCTCTTCGCCTCTGTAAGGTGTAACGTTTTTTTAAATATGATTCCCGGCGACTTACACGGTCTCCACATGCATGTGATGAGTGTTGTTGATACAAATCAGTGATACCTACCGCGTCATTCGGCGACTATGCAGTCGAAAATGAGGTATTTATCGTGCAGGTCCGATTCGCATTTGACGAACTAACGAGAAATTGTCTACGAGGTTGTGGTATGTCCACCAAAATCGTTAAGCACTGGTGAGTTGGGTGCCAGAGTCCCTATCCGGGGAGGCACCAGTTATTCACTTGATTCAGTTTACTGATTAGTGCTTTCATATATCGTCGTCAGGTCACACATTGTCTACCTGTCTGTCGTTTCCACTCATCAAAGATCTGGGCGTAGAAGAGCTGGGCTGATGCTATGTATCCCTTCCCCCCTTCCCCAATTTCTAATGATCAAAACTGTAACAGCTGGAACCAATGTATCTTTCGGACATGGCTTGTCATCATCATCATCATCATTTCTCCCGATACCATTCGACCTACTTCAGAATTGTTGATCCGGTGTTTTCACCAGATTCGGGCAATGCTCCGAAGACATCGATGGTCAAAAACTGAAAGTCCTTTGACGTCCTCGGCGCGCAGCGGCCAGGTTTCTGATCCATGTAGTAATATGGAGCGCACCGCAGCATTGTAAACTCGACCCTTGACAGAGAAGCTGATGTCACG